ATTATATATAGAGAGAAAAAAATTATACTAAATCTTATATTTTCAATAACTTTTTATATAATATAAATACTAATCCAATGATGAAATTATGTTATATTATATTTAAGATTATATATATTAATATAATCGAACTAAATTATAAAAATAGTATACTCCTCTTATTTAGTTTTTTAATGTAAAATTAATTATTTATTTACAAGATACTTTTCTTCGTTGTCATGTAATTCTTTTGCTACACTTTTCTTTATTAATTTGTCCACTAAGAATTTATATTTAAAAATGAGAAATTAAACGAGAAATTTGTTATATTTAGATGATCCAAATAAAAAGGTTTTCATGTTTGGAGATTAACTAAATGCATAATTTAGCCTTTATGTATGGAGAAGCACGCACATGTAAAGAGTATAAGGTGAAAGTCGAGAGTGAGGTAGAAAATCTTAGTTATATAATTAAAGAGTTTATTTTTTATATTGTTAGTGTAAATTTATTATTATTATTAATCAATTAAAAATTATGATAAATATTATAAGATTCAACAATCTAACTATAAGCACATCCTAATTAAATTCTACATTTAAAATGGTAAAAAAATAAATTTAAATAAATTAATCTTTGTAATACTGTGTTTTAGTTTTATTAATTAATTATATAATTTATGTGATTAATTGTTGAATTAATTGTAATTGTTGTTGTTTTAGAACTATGAAGATTAAGAGTGACAAAACAATTCTTTTTTCATTATTTATTTAATCCATTCATAAGTAAATTCATTTAATTCATCAATTATACAAATATAATAATGAAGGATTGAACTCAATCCATTCATTTAATTTTACAGATAGGTATTGATCCATATTTTTGAAAATCTATTAGATTAAATAAAGGGAGTATATTAGATTGAGATTTTAAAAGACTATTTTGTTATAAAAAAAATATTTTTGGACTTTTAAAGATTATATAAAAATGTAATGACTTATAATATTTTTTAAAAAAAGAATTTTAAAAAAATTTAATTTTGAAAATATATTTTCATGGATGGATATCCATTAAAGTTGTTAATGGATGGATTGGATGATTTTTTTTTCTTAAAGGAATTGGATGGATTGGATTTTTAAATAGTTTTTAGTGGATCTAAATGGTTTAATGGATTATTTTTATTTGATCCATTATAATCCAACTTAAAAATTATCTAATCCATCTATTTGCCACCTTTACTAAAGGTCAAGGGATCCTTAAGAGTTAAGTGATCTCTAAAATAGTTTTGGTTAGCATTAGTTGGGTTAGCTTGAGTATAGGTGTATAGGTTTTTCTTAAGAAATGAACCTTATAGGTTCAGTTCTTAAGAAAAGTATAGAGAAGTTAGTGAGATAAGCTTTGGAGCTAAAGAAATCCTTTCTTCCCTCATTTCCTTTGACTCCTCTTAAGCCCTTCCTACAATTGATCTAAGTCGATAGATTAGTGATTCAAGCTTTCGGAGTTGAGAATCTCAAGTGAGAACCTTGTAGAGTTCACTCCCTACTTCCTCATCTCTTCTCTTGTTGAGTGACTAAAGGTAAGAGAAGTTTATAAACTGAATGTTGTTTGATGAATAATTATTATTTACTATCTAGATTTATTCATTAAACGATTGAATTGGTGAAAAACACGAATTGAAGGTGTTGTTAGAAATGTGCCCTTGAAGGTGTGCTTGAGTGACTTGGTGATTTTATTTTTGAATGTTTCTATTGATGTTGTTTGTGAGTCACTAATAGTGCATATATGCTAAATCATGGATTGCATGTTGGTATTTTTTTGGAGAATTGCAAGTTTGAGCCAATTTGGTGATTTTGCTATGTGCGAAAATCATCATTGTGTCAGGTGCAAATTCATGGCTTCGGGCATGACTTCATGGCTCCGAGTATGGCTCAAGTCGGTGGCTCTCTACCTTGACAACATTGAGCGTAGGATTGGAAGCATCAAGCGTGGATCAATGAGGAACTCACTCTCTTAGTCACACCAAGTGTAGAAATGAGAGGCTTCGAGCATGATTACTCGAGGGGCTCTCTGACTTGATGACATTGAGCCCCAAGATGAGTGACGTCAAGCATGATCAAGATAGAGGCTATTTGATTAGATGACACTAGGTGCCAGTGTTGTGACGCTAGGATGAGTCAAGTAGAGGTTCTATACTTGAATGAGGTCGAGCGTGAGTTTGGCCACACTAGACATAGTTGAGTCAGAAGACTCTCAGCCTCATCCACGTTGGGTGTAGATGGATGGTGTCAGGCATGGGCCAACCCTAGGCTCTTTGTCTCAATGACACTGAGTGTGAGAAAGATGCCACTGAGCATGGTAGGCTAAAATAAAATGAGATGTTTTAAGTTGATTAATTGTTGAAGTATGATGATTCATTTATATAAGTGATGTTGTATGATTATATTTCATTATACATTGATCTAGGATTATGTATGATGATGTTTCAAGTTGTGAAAGTTGAAAGTTGATAGTTGATTGAATGTTGAGTAAGTTGAAAGGTGTTTGTTGTTTAAAGTTGAGTAAGTTGTTAAGTTGTATAGGAATGTGGTGTTGAGATACATGTTTTAACTAAGATACATAAAAACTAGAAGAGAGTAAAGTTGTTTAAAAATTAAAGTATCCCATTGTGTGCATATAAGTTGTGGTACTCTGAGAGTCCAAAATTGAGAAGCCTTCAATAAGTAAGTTGACTTTTGAATGGATAGTTTTTTTTTTTTAAGTTATCTCCTCTAGGTTTTATGTGGAACTGTATGGGAGCTAAGTCAAATCATATTTGTATAAAGTCAGTTGGATGTTGCTTAAGTTGTTAATGTTGTATAAGTTGTACATGTATATTATTACTATGTTAATTCTTTCACAAGCTTATTCTTTTTTTTTTTTCTTCTTGTTGTTAGACTGTGATGATCATACTTGTTATGAGAATAAGGTATAATTAGCTTTGGTGACTTGAATGTTGGTAGATGATCATATAGAAGGTGACATATTTTGTATATACTGTCCTAATGTTGTATTTGTTTTATAGAGATGCTGACCAAGAATAGGGTTATTTTGTTTAATAGTTTACATATTATATGTATATTAAATGTATGTCTAGATGACTTTCGCATGAAAACCCTAGTATGATTGAGTAGTTTGTATTTTTCGTTAAATAATTATTATGTTATATTAGATTGTTACGATCTTAATACCAAACATGTGGATTAAGTGACATACATTATCCTAACTTAATTAATTATCTTAATTGAATTATAAGTATACAATTATCTTAAGTATTTTTTTTTTTATCAATTATAGTAATTACACTGGACTTAAGCATAATTATTTGATAAGAAATACATATAGGTTTTAAAAGGAAAAATCTATTTATGTATAATTGTGTTATCATGATTAACATCTTTAACTTTTCAAACTTTTGGTAGATACACATTGATTTTATAAAGATTACGATATATTTATCCAGTTATATTATCATATCTATGATAAAAAAAAATGAGATGAATATAATTTTTTAAGATTTGATAAAACATTCACATGCAAAGTGCGTTTTTCCCTTTAAAGAATCACCGCCAAATCTTGATTACATCATTATTTCTTCAATTGAAATTATGAACATTGTGGTGTCAAGGGAAAGTCAGCATCGTCTCAACGACAATAATTGGTAAATACTACTATACCATCCATTGAATGATTACTATAAAATACTATAATATAGAATTTGTAGCGTCCAACTAAAGCAAATCAAAATAACCTGGTTGCTTATTGATATATCAGAATGGCTGTTTTTTGGAATTACATCCTCATTCCATGATGGGAAACTATATTCTTTGTTCTTAAAAAGGACAGAAAAAGCACTTAGAAGCTGATGGTGCTATGATAGTCTATACCATAGGAAGATCATAGGATGAGATATGGTGTTAATTTCCTCTTTTAATTTATGATCCAGTTCTACTAAAAGTAATGCAATATGTGATTAATGTGGCTAATACATAAATAAAAAATGATAAAAGCTCTAACTATTTGATATATTTCCTGGTTGGTAATTCCTTTGGGCAAATGCTAACGTACGACGCTGACAAAGAATTAATTGCACTTTTAATTCTTCTAATTTGGTTTACGCTTGAATTTATCTCTCAATTGTTTTAAAAATTAGTTATGCCTTTCAAATTTTTAATTTTTGACAATCTTTTGCCTTTCAATTAATAAAGTAAAGCAAATTTAACCTTTCTGTTGTAAGAGAAAAAAAAAATTCTAATCTCATTTCACTCATGTTGCATAAAAAAAAATTATTATGATTGACCTAATGGTGAGAGTTCAAATAATATGTACAAAACCTTGTATTTAAATTCAAATATCATTATTGTAATTGGTGATGGATAAAAAAAAATCTCTATTAATTTTCCATTAACTCAATCTCCCAAACTCTCATCTTCCATCAACGCATTTTAAGTTTATAAGAAACTTGATGTAAATAATTTTCAAAACTGAAATAAAAACTTCGGTGAAAAAGCTAAAGGTATTGTATAACATGTGAAATTAGGGATTAAACAGGAAAAAAAATGATTGTTCCTTAATTTTTCATTTTAAGTTAAGTGTTTACATTTTTTTTTTAATTTATCCCATGGAAAACAGTCATGTTCGATTCAAGTATAATTACAGCTACAAAACTAAACTCTCATGTTGAATATATAACGTACTTGCATATCCAAAAATATGATCTCAGCACCATTGATTAAATTAAAATAATCCCACATCAATTGATTGATGAACTCGACTTCGGTTTTGGTTGATGAAATTTGAGAAAAAGATTTAAAACAAATTAATCAACTCAACTTATGAAGGATTTAAATATAAATTAAGAACCTGTCAAAAAACATTAATTATGAGTTTAGCAATTTTTGATGAAAGAAAATAACACACAAACCTAAACTACTATATTTTGAAAATAGGCGAACTTAATGAACTAAAAAATAACTTGGAGACCAAAATCATACATGAATCAAAATCATAAAATTAAACCTAAAAAAAATAGAAAACATAACAAATTTGCAATGGACATTCACAGTTTTCATGTCATTGCCATCATAGATTACTTGTAATCCTATTTTAGCACATTAAACTAAGTAACAAAAAATTTAAATCAAAGCAATGACAATATTTACATGTCAATACTTCGAGAATGTTGTGAAATGATGTAAAATTATCCATAGAGCTACTATGCAGCAGGAGGCCTGAGCTCATGATCATGAGATGTATCTCTGGAAGATGGAGGAAGATATTGCCACATTGGGATATAGCCATAGTTTGGATAAACAGCCATCTTGTTCATCCCTGCTTGATATGCAGCAGCAGCAGCAGCTACAGGGGGAGCCATAAACCCTGCTGGTGCAACGGCCATGCCTTTCAACTGCTTCTCAATCCTTTCCTTGTCTGCTTTCAGCACAAGTTTCTCTTCACGAAGTTCATTTTTCTCTGCCTGTCACAGAAGAAAACATATTAGTATAACTTCAGACTTGAGCACTAAAGCAATGTATATCCTTGTTTAAGTTTGAACTCATGCACAACACCAACATTTCCATGAAGTTATATTTAATAATGCCCCTCTAGATCCCTATGGTTTAATCACACTTTTGGTCACTTTACTATTGTTGTTTTATGAATTTGGTCTCCCCATCTTTTGCAACTTTGATCCCCTCAAACTATTTAATTGTGTAATTTTTGTCCATTCATTAACTTGACACCTAATATCTTATGGAAATGTTGATACAGTAGCGTAGTAGAGTGCCTCCTTTGCATGGATATGCTAGTGCAAGCAAACACTACAATACTAGTGTTACCACCCACAGTCCCAGCCCACTAATTCGAAGCTAAGAGACATGGTGGAAAGATCTGATACCAATTGAAAAGAACCTTGGATGAACCAAACCTCAAAAGCTAGCTTTTAGTCAAAAAATCCTAGGGCTTGATAGGATATGACACGAAATAACCAGCAGCCTGCGGTTTAAGATATAGATAGGCATGATTGCCAACCACACTTGTATTCATACCATTGTAGTCGTCAATATATCAACCCTCAATCAAGTTCCAATCAATCATCTAGAATCACAATTAGAGGTGTGAGTACGTTAGACAGGCCATGGTTACAAGCCAAGTCTAAAGCTTGAAGCTCAAATTGCCTACAGCTCACAATAGTACTTATTTTATGTTTATTCAATTTGTCATTAATATATATCAACCCTTAATCAAGCTCCAATCAAGCATCTAGAATCATTCACCTATTAATTGCCCTTCATTTTCGGGGTCAACAATTCTGCAAATCACCGGACTAAGTGGCAGAATTTTGAAAGAACTACTATGATACAACTTTCAATTGTTCCTCAAAAAAAGCAAACTTTCAATTCTATTTAGCAGAGTTAGTCTCCTAAAGAGTCTTTCTTCAATGAAGCAAGAAAAGAATTTGAGTCTACACCTGAAATTATATCTTAACACGAGAGATTATAAAACATAACTAAAATGTAGAAGTGCCACTAATTGACTTATTTGCAAACTTGAATTTGGGATGGATGTCATGCATACAAATGGAAGAATATGCAAATATTGAGAGAAGTGAGAACAAAAGTTTCATAACTAACTGGAATGAAGGGTTAATGAATGCAAATGTCAGAACAAAGTGTGTCATTAAACAAACTGAAAAAGAATAGACTAGATAAACAAATACAAGACACAAAATTAATTAGAAATAAATGATGCTTTAGACATAGGATTTGGTGACCTTGCTCAAAACTAGGTTGAATAATTAAAAAACCATGTTGCTGAGAGAGAAGTTGAATTTCAAATAAAATTGAGTCTTGGACAAAGCCGTAGAATGCACACCACCGCTTTTGGTCCAAGGAAAAAAAAAACTGAATATTCTGATTGGTAGAGACATCAACTGTATGCATCTAAAATCATATCATTTGAACACTACAAATTACAACACTCAATAACTTTAGCATTGGATTATTTGCATATCTAACAGCCATTGGTGTAAACTGTAAAGTGAAGCTTGAAGTTCTTTAAGCCTACTTTATGAAACAAGATAAAGCTACTTTATGTTAAAAGTTTAATCATTTCAAGACAAAGCTTCTAGTAGTTGCAGCAAAATACAAAACATTTTCTTTTTCAATGTCATTCAGTGAGATTTCAAGAATGAAGTGGGTAGTGAAGCCAACATTTCAAAGAAAACTAATCCAAGATATAGAAAGTAAGAAAATGAAATATTGAACTCACTACAGTACATGGTTAAAAACAACACTAACCTTTAAACATTTTATTTCCTCTAATAATTTTTCATTAGATTTTTTGAGCTCCTCAGATTCGGTTTTAAGTTGGCTCAAAACTCTGATAGCATCATCAAGTATAGCTGGTTTATCTGTTCTCACAGGTCTCCCAGGTTCCAAAATAGCGCTCAAGTCACAGAACCTGCAACAATTACAATATGTTCTTCCCTTGTATCATCAAAAGAAGTAGCAAAACACAACACAAAATATGAGAGGGTGTCTTTTACTCGAGTATCTTATACACCAATCAAGTGTCTAGAAACTAAAAGATCGCCTTTGGCATAACAATAGAAAGTTTTCAAAGAAATGATCAACTGGCCATTTATGAAATAAATTTTTCAATGAAATGATCAATTGGCCATTTATGAAATTTGCCATTGCCTCGTGCTAAGAGAAGTCATATGCCTAACAATAATCTCTGATGACAGTTGTAAGTTTCATATGTCAGTGTACCATACACCTAACTCAAGTACCCAAAACGATAGTACATGAAAGTGTGAAACACAATCTTAATGTGTGAAGCAACAAGTAACTAGAAAGTAATGGGAAGAGCATACATTCCCTACGCAACAGCTACATGAAAAGCTAAATATACAGCCTGTAATCTGACATAACATACACCATATACTTAATATTTAAAAGTATGCATGCCTTTCATTGAGTCTCTCCCTCCGCAATTTCTCACGGCAAGCTTTTGATCCCGCTTTGAAGCATGAATCAGTGCGCCCCCTACAAATTATTTGCAAGAAATTTATCACACAAAACAAAACTGTAACATGATTCCAAAGATTGCATCACTGCACCTATATAAACAACTTTTCAAGCATGATTTGAACTTTAGATTGTTTATTTTGATTAATGAAATTACAGATATTCTAAGAGAAAATGTATAGAATCCAAAATCAAAATATTTTCATCAACTTTTCAAGACAGATAGTACATTACTTCAAAAGTGACAGACAAGATACCTCTTCTTAGTGTTCTCTGGACAAGCAACAGCATCACCTGGAATGTCAATTTCGGTGCTCACACTAGCAAAGGAAAAAAGAAAATGTAACAGTCATGTTTGCCATACAAATTAAGCAAGGAGAACAACCACCATATCATGTCCTACCATGTGATTTGGCTGCATGAATCAATAGACACCACTAGCTCTAACTAAAAACTAAATTTACAGTATCATACATTTCCCAGAACAAAATAACCAACCCTCAAAAGAACAATAAATCTATTGATTACCAAGCATAAGGGTAAAAAGGAAAATGACAGAAAAATTAAAACCCTTCATTTTCCCTCCAAGTAATGAAACAAAAGCATACAATAACACGACAAAAATCAACATATGGGAGCTAATGAAGCATTCGAATCGAATTTCAGAATTGGGTACACGAGAAAATACGAATCCAGACATGAAACACCAAATTCAAAAAGAAAAAAAAGAATCATCACACAATAACACCAAATCAATAACAATATTTAAAAAAAAAAAAAAAAAAAAAAAAAAAAAAAAAGAACTTGAGCTGCTGCTACAACACAACGAACAATCAATCATATGAATTTCCATATCAAAAGGGTAGTCTTATTTTTCAGCATATCACCAAATCCACACCATAAAGATCAACAATGAAACCCAAAAAGAAGAAAAATGCAATCATAATAATAAAATAATAACTAAAAAATGAAGAAAGAAACCTATGATTGGACCAAAGGAAATCAGGGGGCGCTTGATCGATGAAAGAGTAATCGAGAAAATCCCAACAGGCGGTGTCTTCTAAGGAATCCATTTGCGATTTCAACTTTCTTTAACCAAACCGCCCTCCCTATCTTCTCCAATACCAACCTTCAAATATTGCGTACGCAAATAATAACAGTATTTTACCTGTGAAGACGATTTGGTAAAAATAACTTCCAAAAATAAAAATAAAAATAAAAAAACTAATAATTAAATTTATAACAAATATATCTTTAATATATAAATTATGAATTTGATTCTTCTACACTGAATATTGCACTTTAAAATATAAAATGCAATAATAATAGTTATTATAAAATCAACGATAAAAAATTATGATAAAATTAAATATATATATATATATATAATAATATTTAATTTTTTTATAATATTTATTATTAATTTTTTAATTAACACTTATGATTGTATTTTTAGTCTTTAAAATGAAATCTCTCACTTTAAGAAACTAAATCCATAAATTATATCGAAATTTTAATTAGCAATATTAATGGTTTAATAAAATTATTTTTAATTATTCGTTATTTCTTTTAAAAATTAATTAATCATTTATTCTATATCAACTTTTCATTTTAATTTTATACCTATAAGTAATTTTAAGTTATTTAAATATACTATACGTCCATGTAAATTAGAGTTCATAAAATAAATTATTCGATACATTTTGAGTTAGCCCGATATAGGTCATAGATTATAATGGTTGAATTAAAAAAAAAATCTAAATTTAATTTTGTCTTAAAAAATAATTTCTAAGTTAGATTCAATACACACCGGATTTTTCTGGATGGTCCTTCTTAACTTCTTTTTTTAAAAACTATTTTATTTTTTCCAAAATTAAAGTTCAATAATTATTGTGATAGTTATTTTTGTTGAAATATTTATTTTAATATAATAAATAAAAATAATTAATTAATTTTTATAGTATTACATCAAGGAAAAATTAAAGTTCGATGATAATTATTGTAATTATTTTTTAATATGAAAAATATTTATATATAATATATTAATCTTAATTATTATTTTATAAAAGTTGTAGTGATAAAGTATCCTTATTTATCAAATGACACTTAAATAATTTTTATTAAGTCATCGCTTAATTACTTTATATTAAATATTAATTTTGTAAATTCAACTATTGAATTATAACTTCATATCGGTTTATCGGTTGAAGAGGTTTCAAATGATACTAGTGTAACTTATACTAAGTATTACATCGCACAATAACTTTATGTTAAACATGAATTATAACTTCATATCACATTATGATATTTTAAGTTGTTTATGTTGCTAAAGCTAAAATTTCACTACTAATTATTATGTTGATTCTTTTACAAGTTTATCCTTTCTTTCCTTGTAGTTAGATTTCAATGATCATACTTGGTATAAGAGTACGAAATGATTAACTTGGCTATTAGTGGATGGTCATGTTTGAGATAACCTATTTTTTTAGTATACTACTCTAATATGTAGTATTGCTATATATAGATGCTCGATCGACTATATGTTTTATGTTTTTAGTACCTAGTGTATTTTGATGTATATATGTATATAGGGATTTATATGTAACTCCAAAAGGAGCTTTATGTTTTCAATTTATATTGTTAGAAATTGTTTTATGTTTTATGTATCCTATACATATATATGCTGCATGAATATCCAAGTGTTGTTAATTACATGAGAACCTAGTGTAGTTGATTGTTTTATATTTTTTGTAACACCCTAAGTTTTCTAAAATTATTAAAAGAATATTTTGATTATAATTAAAGTGATTTTATAAAATATTTTAGAGGCTTTTAATAATTATGTTTGTTTTAAATAAATGTTTGTAAAATTGTTTTGTATAATATTTATTAGAGAATTATGTATTTTTATGATATTTTTTTATAGAAAGTATTTAGAGAAAATATATGTTTTAATTATTTATGTAATTAAATATATTTTGCAAAATATGTGTTTTATGGTATTTTAATATTATTTTTTTTTGATAACCAAAGGGGCAAAAGCCTAAAACACTAATTATTAAAATTGGAAGAGGCAGACATGTCTATTAATAACAATTCCTGAATACAATTAGGAGGAGCATTAAATACTATAATATTCTCCTTGGAAAGTATCATATTTTTAGCCAAAGCATCAGCTACTCTATTCGCCTCTCTAAATATATGGCTACAAGAAATAATGTTTAACTGAAAACACAAAGACTTTATCTCTTCGATGATGTTAAAACAAGAATGGTGACGAGGGCAACCATCTGAAATGAGATCCACTGCCATTGAGGAGTCTGATTCAACTTGAACCCTTGCATTAACATTGTGGCTTCTAATAATTCTAAGACCATGAAGTATAGCTAACAGTTCTGCCTCAACAGTTGAAACATGGCCTAGTCGTCCTGAGTAAGCCAGCACAAATCTACCAGCAGAATCTCGCATGATTCCTCCACAAGATGCCTCGTGCCCACTTGCCACAGAACCATCACAATTCAGTTTCAATTGCTCTCGGGGAGGGCAAGACCATTGAAACTTTTGCTGGACCATAGGGATAATGGAACCTGTAATTAGAGGATTATTACATTTCGAAGTTGCTGCTACACGAGAATTAATCTCACCAATAAGCTGATTTGGAGATAGGAATAGATTCTGAAACACATCTCTATTCCTTCTAAACCATAGGCAGTCAAGTGTGATTGCAAATAGAGCACTCCTCTTTTGTGAAGTTTGACTCCTCCCAGATAAATGATGCGTCAGCCAAGTACTGATATCCGAGTTATCAGACTCGAAGGCTTGCACATAACTTGGTAATCTCGACCAAACTTGACGAGCGTAAGGACAGTAAAGAAAAACATGCTTCATATCTTCATAATCATGAGAACATATACGACAACCAGAATATGTAGTTATCCTTCTCTTAACTCTAAAGGCATTAGTCATTAAGCTCTCATGGGCAACTCTCCAAAGGAAAATGCGAACTCGCTCAGGGCCTTTCCAATTCCAAATTAGCTTAAAAATGGGCTTTCGTTCTGGTCTAAGATTATGGGAAGAGACTTCATACGCAGATTTGACAGAGAAGGCTCCATCAGGAGAGCCTCCCCAGCAAGTTTCATCAGCCCCAGCATCAGCTTTGGGCGTTGGCAAGGTTAACACACTCTACCAAACTGAATTAGGAACCAGATGGAGAATGTGGCTCACCTCCCAATTTCCATCTTCAGTTACATAACCACAAACGCATTTAGAGAGCTCACTAGTTGGAATGTATGTTCGCGCGTAGTTGATTAAGGCATCCATTCCTGGCACCCACACATCAAACCAGAAACGAGTTTGACGACCATCCTTGATCTTCCATCTGATATAAGGTTTGACCCTTTTCCAAGCTACACAAATACCGTGCCAAAGATTTGACATGTGAGCCTTCTTAGAGATATTTGGAATCGCTTCTTCTGTACACCCATATTTGGTTTTTACCACCCTTACCCATAGTTTATCTGGTTCTGAGATTAAGCTCCAACAATTCTTCATCATAAAAGCGTTATTCGCCTCCCTCATGTGCCTCAGCCCAAGTCCTCCATGAGACTTAGGAAGGCAAATTGTATTCCAATTTATAGCATGAGGCCTATGATGCTCACTATTATCCCCCCAAAGAAAACCTCTAGAACTCTTTTCCAAAGCATCACAAACAGTCTTGGGGAGACTCACTGTTTGCATAATATATGAAGGAAGAGCCTCCAAGACTGACTTTGTCAAGGTTATTCTCCCAGCGAAAGATAAATTTTTTGCTTTCCATCCACTAAGTCTGTTATTGACCTTATCAATAATACTTTGGTACGTGGCATGGCTAACACGAGAGTGATGGGTTGGAACACCAAGATAATTCCCCAAGTTCTCGGTTCTTTGAAAGCCAAATGCGTTGCTGATTTCTGATCTTACTACATGCCCCACATTTTTAGAGAAGAAGATCCTAGTCTTCTCATTACTAACTTTTTGCCCTGCACTATCACAAAAAACATTCAAACACCCTTGAATTACCTCCACTTGGTCCAACGAAGCTTCAGCAAAAAGCACTATATCATCCGCAAAAGCTAAGTGGGATATCATTGGGCCATTTCTCGACAATTGGATGGGTTTCCAGAGCCGATGATCTATAGTCATGTTGATTAGTTGAAACAATCGTTCCATGCATAAAACAAAGAGATAGGGAGAAATAGGATCTCCTTGTCTTACACCGCGAGAAGGCAAGAATTCCTCCAAAGCCTCACCATTCCACATCATCCTAAGTTTTCCAGATGATATACAAGCCCAAACTAACTCAACAAAATTATTTGGAAGGCCAATGTCGATTAGAGTCTCCTTGATAAACTTCCAATTTAGCCTATCGTAAGCCTTCTCAAGATCTATCTTGATTGCCATCCAACCCTTCTTGCCAGTTTTAAAACGCATAGAGTGAATGACTTCTTGGAAAACAATGATGTTATCCCTGCTATTTTTATAGGGAACGAAGCTGCATTGATTCGGGTGCACCAACAAATCCATAACCTTGCTAAGACGGTGCGCAAGGACCTTGGAGAGTATTTTATATGATACATTGCATAAACTAATCGGCCTCATTTGCCTCAAGTGATTTACTGCTTCCACTTTCGGGATGAAGACAATTAAAGTCTCATTAATGTTAGCAACTCTAGCAGGTTGCTCTTCGATATCATGAATAAGTTTACACACATCCGGTCCTATAAGGTTCCATTGTGATTGAAAAAATATTGCTTGTAGGCCTCAGGTCCTGGAGCTTTAAATCTTCCCATTCTCTTGATTGCTTGTTTTATCTCATCATTGTTGATTGGCTTCCCAATCTCAGATAACATCTCCATTCCTAGAGAAGGAAATGCATTGCTCAAACAAAATCTAGTTGCTCCACCCGGATCACAGAAGAGATCTTTGTAAAAGGAAGTTACTAAGGATTCCATCTCCTCAGGTTGGTTAATCCATTCATTATTATCATTCAAGAGTTTCTCAATTCTGTTTCGCCTTCTCCTAATAATAGTAGTTCCATGAAAATATTTGGTATTACGATCCCCCATCAACAACCATTTACATCGAGACTTCTGGTACCATAAAGGGACGGAGCCAGGATTTCAATACTGGGGGGCCGAGAATTGGAATGATCAAATGAGGCGCTACATTTTTAAAAAAAAAAAAAAATTCCAAAGTGATACCACATAGCAGGCCGTACCAGAAGTCCAAAAGTTGAATAAAAAAATAAATTTGGGTTATTCATTTAATTATACATATGAGTTTATATTAAAAATAGGGGGTGCCATATAGTAATATATATGTATATAAAAAAAAATTAAAATTGTTGGGGGGGCCGTGGCACCCGTAGGTCCCCCCTTGGCTCCGTCCTTGCATAAGATCTCCTCACGAATCAAAATAGTATATAATTCACCGTAGAGATTGGATTGTAGCTCCTCCAGAAACCTGTTAGGACCTTCAAGCAATTTAGAAGCTATCCCATTAAGTCTCCTTAGGAGGCGTCTTTTCTGTTAGGTGATATTTCCAAATGTATGGTAGTTCCACTCCATCAAGGAACTTTTGATATGTTGGACTTTGTTCAATCACTGGCCATTTGCATTCCATTCACGTTTCATCAGCTGGGGGAAATCTTCATGAGTTAACCAAGAAGCTTCAAACTTGAATGGTCGTCTCGTGGGTCGGCGAGGAAAATTATCAGCAAAACGAAGCAATAAGGGCACATGATCTGATTTGAGCGGGTTCAAATGAATGATGGAGGCTTCATGAAACTGTATACGCCAATCATAATTTTCCAGCGACCTGTCCAGCCTTTCAAAGAGTTGACCACGTTTCCAAGTGAAGGGAGAACCTGTGAATCCAATATCCAATAGGTTACACTGGTTCACAAAGTTGTTGAACGCGATATCTCCACGATTTATCCTCGTAGTAGCACTGCCCATTCTCTCATGAGGGCGAAGAACAACATTGAAATCACCCATTAGATTCCAGGGGCCATCCACGATCTGTGCTAATCTAGTTAGGTTGTTCCATAGCGTTGATCTTTCTTGTAAATGTGGACTAGCATACACCATGGTGACAAACCAAGGCAAGGAGTCATTCAAAATCTTTAAATGAATAAACTGTGATGTATGATATATAACCTCAATGTTCCATTTCGACGAATCCCATAAGCACCAAAGGCCACCCGATTGACCATTAGCATGCACCAAGAAATTCTTGTCAAGCTTAATACGACGAGTTACATTAACAGCCCGATTTCCACTAATGTGGGTTTCTAACAGACAGATGAGTCCCACATCGTGGGTTCTGATCAAATCGTTGACTAAGGGCGCGAAACCTTTGGCTCCCGCTCCTGTACAATTCCAACATAGGAAGTTCATTGAGAATTTTTTGGAAGGTTGGGGAGAAATCCCCCTGACATATTCTCATGTGAGTTAAGAGTCAACTCATCTCCAGTTCCAGTTGTGCTTCCTCTCCCATGGGGTTCAAAATACTTACGCAACGCACTTGCAAGTATTACTTCTTCTCTATTTGGACAAAAGACCTGTGTCATAGGATGATGTAGGATAGGATTTGAATTTGATTGAGAGGTAACTGAGCGTAAGCCCTCCAATACCCGCGCTGTGTTCAAGCTCTGATTCATCTCAGAGGGCGTTATGTCTTCTTGGTTCATAATTGACTTCGGAGCATCATTTGGACTTGGATATTCATGTACTTCCTTATTCCTGTTTTCTCCTTTTGTTTTGGTCACAAAGGGCCCACCTATATTAGCTTTAATTCTAGGAGGTTGTGGATTCTTTCCTCCTAGTGGGTTACGTACCCTATGATGCGCTTGCATGGCCTGCATGTGGCTATTATCTTTAAAGGTCTTGTCCTTAGATACTGTGTTAGTAGTATCTTTAGATAAATTGGTTCTATACCGTATGGTGGCCGACTAGGCCGAACGCCCGAACCCGCGAATAATCAGGTCGGATACCCGAGCCCGTCGATGCTGAGGCCGATCACCCGAGCCCACCGACCACGTATAAACGAGTGAAACGTGTCGGTGTGGTCGGCCAATCTCAGCGCCTCTGCCAGGCTAATTACGGATAGTTTAATTAGTGTAACACATCAGATTAGCCCCCTAATTTTCCGGGGCTCAATCCTTAAACACGGCCCAATACGAACACCTATAAATAGAGCTCCAACGAGGTATGTAACTAACTTTCAACTACCGCATTTATTACGCCGAGAACTAACTTGAGCGTCGGAGTGTCTTTGCAGGCACCCCCCACCTCGCTTTGGACTACCTGGACAAGAACGAGCAGACCGCGACCCAAGACCCGACCCGCTACGACTAAGATGGTTGAAGTGTGTATCCTAACACAGGAACATTTGGCGCCCACCGTGGGGCCGAAGAGACGTTTTCAGCCCCTTTTTACTCTACGACTAAGATCAAGACATGTTAGCAACGCGCAAGGGACAATCAGCAACAACTCAACCGATCCCTAATCTCGGGAGCAATCCCGTTATGACCAACCAAGAGCGTTACCCGTACGGAATGCCTCACACACAAACCAAACCCGTGATACAAGAGGTTCAGCCTAATACCGACCATGCTCAGCCCGACCTCCAAGACGACTTGCGCGCATTGCGCAAAGAAATGGCCGCTATCCGAAGACAAAGAGAAGTTGACGCCAGGGAGTTGGTCGAACTGCGCCGCCAGAACGCCGAGCTTCGAAGCCTCAACCAGACATATGTGTCGTCAACTCCCACTCTCCAGGAGGAATCGGCGTATCATGCCCCGACTGACCATGTAACTCGAACACCAGCCACCTCTTTGGTGGCCAACAAGGCCGACACCCATACTTACTCCCTGAGGCATCCTTTCTCTCGAAGAATAATGGAGGCAACCCTATTGGACCACTGGAAAAGTATACCGATCGACAAGTACGATGGGTCAACTGGCCCCGAGGAAGACTTGAATGTTTTCTTGACTCAAGCAACCCTCTCCACTCAAGACGACTCGGCTCTGTGCCGAATATTTCCCACGTCACTGAAGGGTAGGGCTTTGAGTTGGTTCACGAGGCTGCCAAACTCCTCCATTGATTCATTTAGCGAGTTATCATCCCAGTTTACCCTACAATTCGCGACGAGTAAGCCGTACAGGACGACCTCGTTAGCTTTGGCGGGGATTCGGCAAGAGAAGAAGGAAAGTTTGAGAAGCTTTATGGACCGGTTCAACAAAATCGCCATGGAGATAGGTGATCTTAACCCGGCCGTGGCCTTGGACCGGCTGATCACCGCTATGAAGTCGGGACCCTTTGTGAATAGCTTATGTAAGAAACCACCGGTCGACATGAATGACCTCCGGCGCCGAGCCGAGAAGTATATGCAAATGGAGGAGTTGGCGGAAACCCGAAACCAAGCTAGGGTTGAGGAGACTTACAGCAGGAATGACATTCATTTTAGAGATGTTTTTCGTGTGCTTAGATACTTGAAGAAATCTTTAGGAGCTGGTATATTTCTCTCTTCTTCAAGTTCTTTACAGTTGAAAGGTTTCAGCGATTCAGATTGGGCAGGTTGTGTTGAAACACGTCGTTCAGTTACTGGTTTTTCAGTTTATCTTGGTGATTCATTAATTTCTTGGAAATCTAAGAAACAGGCCACTGTTTCTCGAAGCTCTTCAAAAGCTGAGTATCGGGTACTTGCTTCAACCACATGTGAGATACAATGGCTTACATTCCTTCTTGATGATTTTCGGGTTCCATATGAAAAACCTGCTCTGCTTTTCTGTGATAATGATTTGGCTATTCAAATCGCTTCTAATCAAGTTTTTCATGAAAGAACGAAGCATATTGAGATAGACTGCCATGTTGTTCGGGAGAAAGTTAACCGTGGTGTTCTTAAGCTTCTTCCCATACATTCCTCAATGCAGCTTGCAGATATACTGACAAAAGCTCTTCACCCCCATGTTTTTAGAGAATCTTATGGCAAGCTAGGAATGTGCAATATCCATTCCCAGCTTGAGGGGGGCTCTCAACTTGATCATCAGCCCAAAAATGTTTCAGCCCAAGAGTCCCAGCCCAAAGCTCCTTGATTCGTTCTTCCCTCTGCAGCTACGGATACACTTTCCACGTGTTTGTTGCACCTTTTTTTATTCCTTTTGTTATTACCATATCTTTCTGTTAGAATCTTTGCATATCTTTTCTGATTTTCATTTTCCATCCGTCATCCCCTTTTTGTAACCTCTTTCTCTTCTCATTCTCTTTGTATATATACGTATCATTATCAATAAAATGTAGCAGAATGAGATTGATTGCTATTCTCATTTTTCTCTTATCGTGCTCTGTTTTAATGTTTATGTTTATTAATGAGTTTGAATCACTCTTATTTACGACTAACAATTAATATTATATTTGTTGATAAAAAAAAATCTTTGCATATTGATTAAGGCTTGTTGCATCTTTACTTGGTCACGCAAGGGTAGGGGAATCGTGTGACCAACAAGTTGCACCTAGTTATATTGGGGGCAACAATTGCTAACTTGTGTAAATATATGTTCATAATTTTGATTACGGTGTACTGCATTGCGTCTTTACTTGGTCATTTTAGGAGAGGGGAATCCATGGAACAATAAACCATTGTACCTAATTAGATTGTTGGCAACAATTGGTAACTTTTGTCAAGATATTTTTTACAGTTAGAGCAATTAGTGTGTATCATTATTTTCTTTTCTTCTCTTAGAGCATAGTGAGTATGAGTAAACGAACAATCTTGATTCATTCATGACCGAATACTTGGTAGGTGACATCATGAGTCGAAATAATTAATGTGGTGGCTCCATATGAAGGACTATTGGGTGACTCATCCATGTTGATACCACCACTTGTCTGCATCAACATGACACCTAACATTATGATCCAAAACCACTTCTGACTTCACTAGGGATTCAATTTGTTTCTTACGAAGAAACATGAATTTTAATCCCACACTAAATTTAGTTAAGATAACATTTGGCATTTTAGTTGTCATTGATTAAACACAATGTGCGTTTGATACCCAAGAATGTTCTTTCCATTTTCAAAAATCTTGAATATCGAGAATCATAATCCTAAAAATAGCTAAAATGCATTTAATTCGTTATAAATACCTTTGAAAATATTAATATACGTTATTTAAAAATTAAATTTTTTATCATATTAAATTAGTGGGATAAAATAATGTAATACTTTTACTACAATAAAACCCTTCTTTTTAACTCGAAAAGTTGTTTCTCACCTCTCATTGGAATGATATTCAAGGAAACTATATAAAAAAAAACCATTTCCATAAGACTATTTTTAAAAAATATTATTTTTAAGATAATAAACCTAAGACAATAAACTATCATTCCCAACTTTATATTCTTAAAAAAAAAAAACTTTATATTCTTAAAAAACTAAACTTCCCGTACCAAACACTCTTATTTCAAAGTCAAATTTGAAGAAAATTTTGCTCACAGAAACTTAGGCCTAAACTGTGATGCCCTGATACCCAAAATCAATTTTCTGCAAGGCATTATTTGTTCAATTTTATCTTTTTGACATCATGCTTGAATATTGTCCTGAATTAGACTAAAATCAAACAATTTGAAGTGGTATTAGTGCGCAATTCAATCTGCATCCAACAGGGAAGTCTATTTCTCTCAAGTATTGGTCATAAAATCTAACCACAACTTAGCTTAACTTCTTTGCACCAAGTAGAATAGAATTGCAAGTGAAAAGGGAAGCATATCAAAATCAAATTATAATCCATCTCACAAATAAACAAAATAATCTTAATATGTCTAAAAGTAAACTATTCCAAACTCAGCTGAAGATCAAATGTTGGATGCCGAACTAAGCATTTTGGCACACTAATACATGTTTTGCTCTATTTTTCTAAACTGTCTTTGCTTTAGGGTTCTTCTTCCTGAGCTGACTCCTGGGAATTGAGTTCTTCATTCCAATAAAGAATAGCAATGCCCCAAAAAGTGCTGCGTTCTGCCATCAAAAGGAACCACAATATACCCATATATCAAGTTCTCACACAAACGAAACCATCAATTAGCAAGACATCAAGTAAATGAAGTTTAGACAAACCAGCATGAACTCATTCAGCAGCTGATTATATTTAGGCTTGCCGGGTCTATAGTTATAGAAATCGTACAGAAGTGGAGTAGTAAGCGCCAGATGCAAAAGCTACAACAACAACAACAACAACAACAAAAGCCTTAGATTCAGAAGCTACAGAAGAGAAAAATCCAGTCTGGATTTATAATTCTTTGGAACCACAGCAATGACAAGAGCTTTCAATGTAAACTTAAGATTAAGATTAGCAACTTCTTCACAATACAAAACTAAGAGACCAAGCCCTTACCAGTAGAAAAGATCCAAATGTGTTGCCAAACACAAACAAAATCCCTCCGACCCCCTTAAGAAATATGATAACAGAAATGAATTGCCGGGCCTGCATTTAGGATCTCAATCAGAAAGGGAACTACAAGTAAATAATGAAATCTATTTAGCAAATAAAAGAAAAATTGTCGTACATCAATATCTGGTAGAGCTACCCCCAATTTGGAAGACAAATTTTTCTTCACGACAGTGAGCTTGGGAATCAACTCCTTCGAGATGGGTCCACCATTGGCATCAAATTCATTAAACCTTGCAGTATAAATGTTTTATCAATAGAAAAATACTAAAAGCCTAAAACTCTCTACAATAATTGTTTAACTTTTCGCATATAAGCAATTCTGTCACACAAAGCAGTACATAAATTAGCAAACCAAAATTTCTTAGGGTACCTAACATTTGGTTTGCTAAAAAAATTTCAAACAAGGTATATCACATAGGTCAAACATTTTAATATATCATAACCCGGTGACATACCTCTAGGGAAGTTGCAAAATCAAATAAAATTAGATTCTAAGAAACAAGTTAAAAAAGTGTTTGGTGTTGGGGACATAGAGGAATAGGATCTGAGATTCAGAGATAGACAGAGAATTTATCAACCTCAAGATTTGCCATAGGTGAATATCATATCTATGGCTTGACCCTTATTGGGGTTTGGTAATTGAATATTGGAATTCAGCTTCAAAGTTATTGAACTTAATCTCGTTTTCATTTCTAGATTTATTTATAACCTAAATCAGAAGTTTGTTAACACAAAAATAAAAGCGATCCACAATTAGATCTCTAAGCTTAGGGTCTATACTTTATTTGGTATCAAAGTCAGTACATAGTGCAAATTGCAAACATCAAAATCCTCAATGAATTGAAGGAAGCAACTTAAAAGGAAAAAGCAAATTAAAAACGATGCAACTCAAGATTTCACAGATCATTGATTCTCACTAGTATTAAAAACCACTTAAAATCAACATGTCAGCATACTCAAAAGCAAGGTTTTAAATTGCAGTGACTGTCATGACCTGGCCCATGATCTTTGATATCATGGGTAATTACAGACAAATAAAGCCGTTGTGGGCACTATTTAACATTGAGGCCGAAATCATGGTCGCAAACCATTTTTCTAAAACTTTGCTCAGAAGATAATTAACACTAAACAATCTACAACAATATCACCTACACCTACACTCTAGAACAATAACAAATCCATTTATTAGCAGATGCTTATTAAACTTTAAAGCAAAATCCAACCAATCATATCCATGTATGACTTCCATAAAACGGACCCCCGAAAAAAAAAAAAACACCTTTTACATTCAATCCTTAAAACCAAATCAAGAAAACAAAAACCCACATGAGAAAATGGAAATCAAAGCGAAAAGTGAAGTCCTTTAAAGGAATCTGATAGATCTGTGAAAAGGGGCACTTACATCTGCCATGCTGAGAGGATGAAGAGGGACGCAAAGAGGACGCGACCCAGAAAGGAGGAGAACCCCATTTTTCTCCCTTTCACAGAAGCTCCGAGAGAGAGAATAACGGGGAAGATTCAGAGAGAGAAAAGCAAGGAACACGAAATGAAAATATAAATATATGTCGATGGCAGTGACCAGAACCAAGGTGGTCAATTTTGTTAAGTTAAATATTAAAATGGGGTTATGTTATGTGTGTAAGATTTGGATTTGGAATAATTAAAGGAAGTTGAGGGTCTCACGCAAGCGATGTTAATTGTTAAAGATGTGAGTAAGTAAACACTTATGCTTCATCATTCACTTTCATTTCGATTTACAATTCAATGTGCCACCTACCACCACCATCGTGCCTTCAATTCCATCAAGAGTAGTAGTCAAGTTTAATCCATTATATATATAGTACTTAAATCACACCAAACTTATAGATGCTATTTAACATTTGACATTTCTTATAGAGGTCACATTAAATATTTTCAAACAATTAAGAATTAATATAATTTCTACAAATATTAATATAATAGTTTTAAACAATTAAAATGATTAATATTAAAAAAAATATTGTACAATGTGTGTAATTTCATGAAACTTCAAATTAATAATTTCTACTTAATATACTTGCTTTTTTATATGTATTATTATCAACTAAATTTTATTTTTTAAAAATAATAATTATTGATCTATATTATACAATCTTATAGATAAATAATTAAGATAAAAAAATAATTAATTATTATACAATCAATAAAAACTTATAAATAATATTGACCATTTAAATGTGATTTTAAAAATTAATAATACTATCAAGTGAATTTTATTTTTGTAACATTGTTGATTATATGATATTTAAATTTATTTGCAAGATTATTTTTGTCTAGCTTTTAGTCAGTGTTAGTAGTGTTATTTAAGAACTTTGGAGTTATGAGGCTTTGGAGGTTAAGTTGGTTTCTAGGGTAGTTAGATCAAAGATAAATTGGGTCATTTCAAGAAAGGTATATAAAGTTTTTTTTATTATTAAGAAGTGAGCTCATAATTTCATGTTTATCTTGGTGATTCATTAATTTCTTGGAAATCTAAGAAACAGGCCACTGTTTCTCGAAGCTCTTCAAAAGCTGAGTATCGGGTACTTGCTTCAACCACATGTGAGATACAATGGCTTACCAACACGAGCAGGGCCAAGGTATTGGAGCAGGCCCTAGCATCTGAAATATTGGTGATGCCCAAGCGGGCAAACACACCTCCAAGAGCCGACACGGCTAAGTCGTGCCGATTCCATCGAAACCGGGGCCACTCTACAGAAGAATGCTCAGCGTTAAAGGATAAACTAGAGGACCTCATCAAGCAAGGCCATCTCAGAAAATTTGTGAGACCACAAGATCACCAAACAGGAGGGAGAGATCAACGCCCTTGAGAGGCACCATTGACAAGAGACCGACGCCACAGGTCTCGATCAACCGAGAGGAGAGATCACACACGAGGTTCCCGTGAAGACAACAATCGGCCGAGGAAGATAATAAACACAATAGCCGGAGGTTTTGCTGGGGGAGGTTCCACATCTTCCACCCGGAAAAGACATCTCCGAGCTGTACGATCGGTAAATAGCGTTAATCAGCCGAGAACACCGAAGATGCCTCCGATCACTTTCTCTGACCGAGATTTCCGTGGCGTCGATCCCGTCCAGGACGACCCCATGGTAATTTCCTTGTAGATGCATAATTGCATCGTGAAGAAGACATTGGTCGACCAGGGGAGCTCTGCCGACATATTGTACTGGAACACATTTAAGCAACTTGGGATCCCAGAAGAAAGCCTAGAACCATATCACGAGCCTCTAGTAGGATTCTCGGGCGAAAGAGTGATGACGAGAGGGTGCATCGACTTGTACACTCGCTTCGGATTCGATCAGAAGTCCTCAAGAGAGATTAAAATCTGATACATCGTGGTGCACGCGAACACAGCATACAACATCCTACTGGGCCGACCCTCAATCAATGCTTTAGGAGCAATTGTCTCGACCCCCCACCTGTGCATGAAATTTTCGTCGAGAGATGGGCAGGTAATCACTGTGCATGCCGACTAGAAAATAGCAAGGGAGTGCTACCTCTCTAGCTTGAAAGTGCAGCCCATCTCCGACCCCCTGACGAAGACAAAAGGCGTGAACGTCGTCAGACAAGAGATAACCGACGGCATCGACCTCGACCCTCGGTTAGGGGAAGACGAGCGGATCGAAGTCGCCGAAGACCTAGTCCCATTTTAGCTTGGTCGAGTACCCGAACAGGTCACGCATTTGGGATCCCAATTGAGTGAAATCGATGCGAACCAGGTGAAGCGAGCCGTCCAAGACAATAAAGACTTGTTTGCATGGACGGCGTCGGACATGCCAGGGATAGATCCAAAGTTCCTGTGTCACCGACTGGCCGTATGCCGAGATGCCCGGCCAGTTGCCCAAAAAAAGAGGAAAATGGGAGATGAGAAGAGAAAGGCTGCGAACGTCGAGGTGCAAAAACTGTTACAAGTAAAGTTCATTCGAGAGGTCACCTACACCACTTGGCTAGCTAATGTGGTGTTGGTCAAAAAGTCGAATGGGAAGTGGAGAATGTGCACCGAATACACCGACCTTAATAAAGCCTGCCCCAAGGACGCTTATCCACTCCCCTGCATCGATCGACTCGTTGACGGCGCGTCTGGACACTCTATTTTCAGCTTCCTAGACGCATACTCAGGTTACAACCAAATAAAAATGTACCCGGCCGACGAAGAAAAAAAGGCGTTTATCACTGAGAACGCCAACTTTTGTTATAAGGTGATGCCGTTTGGGTTGAAGAACGCCGGGGCAACCTATCAAAGGTTAATGGACAAAGTCTTTCGGGGTCAAATCGGCCGAAACATCGAAATTTATGTGGACGACATGGTGGTGAAGTCCAACTCCATGGCCGATCATGTAGCCGACCTGGCCGAAATATTTGGGGAATTGCGCAAGCACAATATGAGGCTCAACCCCGAGAAATGCACCTTCGGGGTCAGGGGAGGCAAATTTCTAGGTTTCATGCTATCTGCAAGAGGCATTGAAGCAAACCGAGACAAATGCCAAGCTGTGATAGATATGCGAAGCCCGAGCAACCTCAAGGAACTGCAACGTCTTTCAGGAAGATTAGTCGCCTTGTCACGATTCCTCCCGCGTCTAGGCGACAAAATTAGCCCGATGACGAAGCTTTTGCGAAAGGCCTCAGCCTTCTCGTGGGATGAACCATGTGAAGAAGCCTTCATGGCGTTGAAAGCAGCACTAGCGACGCCACCGATCTTAACGAGACCTGATCCTTCGAGGCCACTTTTGGTATACCTGGCCGTGTCCGAAGATGCGATCAGCTCGGTTTTGGTGCAAGAAAAAGAAGGCACCCAAGCTCCTGTATACTTCGTTAGCCGACTCTTGCAGGACTCCGAAACCCGGTACCAGCTGATAGAGAAGGCGACACTCGAATTAGTGCACACATCCCGACGCCTCCAGCATTATTTCCAGAGCAACCGAGTTGTTGTCCACACCGACTACCCAATTTCGAAAGTCTTAGGCAAACCTGAGCTTGCCGGGAGAATGATGGCTTGGTCGATCGAGCTCTCGCAGTTCGACATCACCTTCAAGCCGAGAGGGCCGATCAAAGCTCAATGCTTGGCTGACTTCATAAACGAGCTACACCCTCAGGGCCAGTTCGAAGAGCACTGGTGGACCCTCCATGTTGACGGTTCTTCAAATTGCCGAGGAAGCGGAGCAGGAGTCATTCTAGAAGGACCCAAAGGGATAGTTTTAGAGCAATCCCTCCGCTTTCGGTTCAAAGCCTCGAACAACCAAGCCGAATATGAAGCCTTATTGGCCAGGTTGAGACTAGCCGAAGACATGGGCGCTTCGAGACTTAAATGCTTGACCGACTCTAAGGTGGTGGCCGAGCAAGTAGGCGGTAACTTTCAGGTTAAAGATCACAACATGATGAAGTACTACCATGCCTATCAAAAGTTAAAGGCAAAGTTTCAAGAGGTGTCAGTCGACCACATCCCGCGTGAGGATAACGCCCGAGCCGACCAGTTGGCTCGGCTGGCCGCAACCAAGAGGCCGGGCCATTTGAGAACCATCATTCAACAGGAGATTGACCGCCCAAGTGTCGAGACAGAAACAGTCGCAAACGTCGAGGCCGATCGTGCCGAAATTAATGACCCTCCAGACTGGCGAGATGAAATCAAAGCATTTCTCACCAACGGAATCACACCAGTCGAGCCGGCCGAAGCCAAACAGTTGAGAACACAAGCCAACAGATACGTTGTCATCGCTGATCAACTGTACAGACGTGGCTTCTCTACCCCATTGCTTAAGTGTCTAAACACCTCTGAGGCTGATTACGTGATGAGAGAAGTGCACGAGGGCATCTGTGGAATGCACTCGAGAGCTAGGACGACCGCTACTAAACTAGTGCGAGCTGGCTATTACTCGCCGACCATGGGCACCGATTGTGCCATGTTTGTGAAGAAGTGCCAACCCTGTCAAAAACACGACAACTTGATTCATCAACCAGTCGAGCAGTTGCATTGCATTCTCCCAGCATGGCCGTTCGCCACATGGGGAGCCGACATACTCGGACCTTTCCCGGTTGCCAAGGGACAATGCAAATTCCTCATCGTTGCTGTGGACCTGTTCACCAAGTGGATCGAAGCCGAGCCCCTAGCGTGTATCTCGGCGCATCAAGTCCAAAAATTCTTATGGAGGACTATCATCACGCGATTCGGCGTCCCGCACACCCTGGTAACCGACAACGGCCTTCAATTCACTGACTGAAAACTTAACGAGTTCCTGGCCGGTCTAAGAATACAGCACAAGGTCACATCGGTCGAGCATCCGCAAACGAACGGCCAGGCCGAGTCCGCCAATAAGGTTATCCTAACAGAATTGAAGAAGCGGCTAGGGGAAGCAAAGGGAGCATGGGCCGAGCAATTGCCCGAGGTATTACGGGCTTACAGGTGCACTCCTCAGTCGACTACTCAAGAAACCCCTTTTCGCCTAGTTTATGGATCCGACGCGATGATCCTAGTGGAAATCGGAGAACCATCATTCCGCCAAGCCCACTTCGATGAAGCAAACAACGAGGCCGAGCTCAGGATAAACCTATACATGGTAGGGGAAATTCGAGACCGAGCACTAGTAGTTGCCGAGACCACCAAACGACGATACAAGAGAAGATTTGACAGCAAGGTAAAACCTAGAGAATTCCGAGAAAGAGACCTCGTTTGGAGAACCACAGGCGAGGCGAGGAAAGATCCGAGACAGGGAAAACTTGCCCCAAACTGGGACGGTCCTTTCCGAATCTGGCACAACCTGAACAACGGAGCATACAAGTTGGAGTACCTGTCAGGAGAACCGATTCCGAGAACTTGGAACTCCTCACACCTAAAGATGTATTATAGTTGATGTAATAGTGCACTCTTTTCCTTGACCGACTCTTTTTTCCCTAAGGAGGGTTTTGGGTCGGCAAGGTTTTTAACGAGGCACTCAATTAATACAAAGACGTCTTTGAATGTTATTTCGTTTTCTATTCAACTGTGTGCCTATGCTTAGGTTATGAATATGCAGGTCCGACCTCAGATAATGCTCACCGAAGACGAGTAACCCTTGACCGACCACTCAAACGTGTGCTCGAGCCCAACAGGTTTCCCTCCTGAGTACCCTTCTCGGCTAAGGATGTAACTAGGCCGAGCACTACACGCTCGCGTATCGGAGCCGAGCAACCCTCGGCCGACCACTCAAACATGTGCTCGAGCCCAACAGGTTTCCCTCCCGAGTACCCTTCTCGGCTAAGGATGTACCTAGGCCGAGCACTGCACGTTCGCGTATCGACGCCGAGCAACCCCAAGCAGACCACTCAAACGTGTGCTCAAGCCCAACAGGTTTCCCTCCCGAGTACCCTTCTCGGCTAAGGATGTACCTAGGCCGAGAACTACACGTCCACGTAACGACGCCGCGCCCTCTTCAACCGAGAACTTTCAAGGTGTTCCGCATTGAATCAAGTTCAATCCGAACCCTCTCTATCTGAGACCTCTCATGCGTTCCGCATTGTATCAACAATCTGAACCCTCTCTAGCCGAGTCTTCTCGTGTACTCCGCATTGTGTCAAGTTCAAATCCGAGCACTCCCTGCCGAGTCCTCTCGTGTACGCAATATATATTAAGTTTAATCTGAGCACTCTCTAGCCGAGTCCTCTCTTGTACTCCGCAGTGTGTATTAAGTTCCCTCTCTAACCGAGCACTCTCACACGGCCCATCGTGTATTAAGTCACTGGTTTCGACGCCGAGCATCTTGAACTCGGACACTAACGAAACAATCAAACACCGCGCTTCAATCACCGATCAAATCGCGGTATTGGCCTCCTCGACCAAGTAAGAAGTCGGTTTAATTTGAAAATTAAGCACTTATAAACATGGCAAAAGAGCAAAAGGAATTTCATTAACTATGGCCGATCAAAACGGCTACTTACAAAAATCAAATGTCTAAAAGGCACCGACACCAACGGCCGAGCTTACAAAAAGGCGCTGACGGCCCGGTAACAAAAAATAACCTAACCATAAAGACCGAACCCTACGCAGCCGCTTGCTCCGTTGGATTCCCGTCGCCGACTACATCTATTACCGGGTCCTCCTCCTCGGTTGACTGCACAGTAGCCCGGCTAGACACACCTTGGCGTGGGGCTTCGGCATCCGGTTGAGCCCCTTGAGGAAACTCGGCATAGCTCATAAACTTGCCACCTAGGAAGTCTCAGCTAACATCAAACTTAAAGTCAGCCGGGACATCACAAAACTGGTGAGCTTGTCGAACGGCGTGTTGGAAGCCGGCGTCGTGCTGAGCGAGGATTTGCTCGGTGGCTTCGGCCTCAAACTGTGCGGTTGCCTCTTTAAGCCGGGTGATCTCACTTGCAGCAGCGGCAGCTTCGGCCTTCATCTTTTGCATAGCCAACTTCAGATCGTCAGCCTCCCTACGATGGGCGTCGGCCACCTTCTTCAGCTCCTCAGCCGACTCGATCGCCTTGGCGTTAGCACTTAAGGCATCCTTCACCGTCGCCTCAACATCCTTCAGGCGAGTTTGGAGCATCTCGGCCGAGACTGCCGACCTCATCATCACGTGCTTTGCCACGAGTGAGGTCCGAGCATCAAGCTCACAGAAGAGCTTATACTCAGCCTCCGTCGACATTCCCTCCAAGTATTGGAGTCCCCCTCTGGTGGTTAGGTCAAGACTTACCAAATTCTCGACCTGCACGTCCGAGGCCAAAAAGTTCGACCCCGCCACAACAGCGGGAATGGCGAAAGCCCCGCACCCTGCCTGCTCCAATGATAATTGCTTCGGTCGCTTGGAGGAGGAGCTCAGACGTTCCGGCTCTATATTATGCTCAGCTGCACGCACCCGAGACGTACTCCCTTTTTTCTTGGGATCGGCCAGGGGAATTAGTACTTGCGTGGGCTTGTCTCGCTGTACCCTGAGGGCCGACCTGGCCGGCGGCACTTTCCCACTCTCCTTCGCCTCCTTCGCCCTCTTGGCGAGCATCGCGGTTACGTCCAGCTTGCCTCCGGCCATCAATCCTACTACAAAGAAAATTTTAACATCAATTTAAAAATTGATTAAGTAACCGAATCCTAGCACACATACCTAGCAAGACCATCTCAAAATGAGACGTCTCAAAAATTTCCAATAGGTCTCGGACAGGAAGCTCCTTCGACAGTTGATCTAACAAATCCACAATCTCCTTGTCCTCGGCAGGGAGTTTGGAGGTAGGGATCGCCTCAAAGCGCGTCGGACGCCTCGTCCAGTAGAATGGGAACAGAGGGGAGTCTTCTCGGTCATAGAAGCAATCCCTCATCTCCGACCCCCAGCGAACCTTGAAAAATCCACTTTTAAATCCCTTGTACGAAGAGGTGAAGGCCCGTAGAAAGCCCCGTTTCGGTACCGGAGCTAAAGAAACCCACTTTGCCGGTTTGCTCGGGCGGCAAGTATAATAATAAAGAAATGCGAGTGGCCGAGGCGTGAGGCCGAGACAAAGACACAAGTTTCGAAATGCTTGCATGGCCGCCCAAGCATTAGGGTGCAACTGGGTCGGCGCCACATTTAGGGTTCGGAGAACCCCCATCTGAAAATCATCAAAGGGCAGCTCTATGCCGAGGTCCTCGAACCAACACATGTATGCGTAGAAGTAATCGTCTTCACCAGGTTCCGCCTCCAAGAACACAAAATCGGTGTTCGGTCCATCGTCTTCACACGCCTCGACAAGCAGCGGAAACTCCTCACCCCCACCCCCGAAGCACTTCTCAGAAGAGATGAATGTGTCCAACAGGCCCTGGTCGGATAACTTCGAAAAGTATACACCGACCTATCCGTCCACCCACTCATACCCCGGCATCTCCACGGTACCATAATCCACCTTCGGCTTAGTCCGGACATTCGGCCCGGCCATAGCCCTGCCTCGATTATCCTCGACCATTTCCAACTCATCCCCATTGCCTTCGGCAAGGACGGTTACTACATGGGGTCTCGGTTGCTCGGCCTGCGCTAAACCTCTGTCATCAACCTCAGTAGCACGAGCCAAAGCCACCGCCAGGGTCACCGGCGGCGATATCTCTACCACTTCGTCCCCGCTGTCATCTTTCTCGGGATGGTCGGATGGGAACACCACTTCACATTGCAAAGGGGGCAACCTCGAGACCTCACTCGAATCCGATCCTTCCCTATCCGACGAGGCGTCCGATGCCCCCGACGACGTCCAACTCCTAACCGAAGAATAATCTCTATCCATTTATTATTATAAATTAACGTATACAAAACTTACCTCGCTCGGTTGCTTCGGTTGAATCTGATTTCGAGAGAACTCGGGAAATTTATGGGAAATTTAAAGTGAGTAAATTCCCACGCAACCCTCCGCCTATTTATAGGCGAGGTAAACGGGGAAATTGAAAAGACATCTCCAAACCCTGACCATTCGATCAAAACCATCCAACGGTCCAGATTTAATAACCGTTGAGCCTGTAACCGTCAGGGCCAACGTGGCAAGCAAGCTACGCCCGCCTAGGTCTCGGCATAATTTCCAGTCATTCGAGATCTCGACCCAGCTTTGGATGTCAGAGCCCTCGGCTCACGCGTCATCCATACAAGGCCTCGGCCCACCTTCGCTTCATGTCACGCCTTAATCATGCGGCACATACGGCCTCGGCATGATTTCACGTGGTCTAGGAAATACCCTAGACACCGCCCACGGCCTCGGTGCAATTTCCAGTTACTTGAGGTCTCGGCGCAGCTTCTTACGCCCGAGCTCTAAGTCCGGGCATCGCCCACGCGAGGCCTCGGCTCACCTTCGATTCACAGGTCACAGCTTAGCCATGCAGCACATACGGCCTCGGCATGATTTCACGTGGTCTAGGCAATACCCTAGACATCGCCCACGGCCTCGGTGTAATTTCCAGTTACTTGAGGTCTCGGCGCAGCTTCTTACGCCCGAGCTCTGAGTCCGGGCATCGCCCACGCGAGGCCTCGGCCCACCTTCGATTCACAGGTCATGGCTTAGCCATGCAGCACATGCAGCCTCGGCATGATTTCATGTGGTCTAGGCAATACCCTAGACACCAGCCAAGGCCTCAGTGCAATTTCCAGTTACTCGAGGTCTCGGGCAGCTTCTTACGCCCGAGCTCTCAGTCCGGGCATCGCCCACGAGAGGCCTCGGCTCACCTTCACTTCGCAGATCACGCCTCATCCATACCCCATCTAAAACCTCGGTCGATTTCACGAGGTCCAGGGCACACCCTAGACACCATCTATTAAGGACTAGACTCTACTCCGCCTTGGCACGGTATAATTTCCATTTACCCAAGGTCTCGGCGAAGCCTCTTACATCCGAGCCCTCAACCCAGGCATCATCCACGCTAGGCCTCGGCACATCTTCGTCGCTAGACCTCGGCACGCGTTCCCATTAAGATCTCGGCATAATTTCATACGGTTAAGACGTCGTCCAATGCAACGCTACGCATCTCATACCGTCTTCGTCTTTCCTAGCCTTGACGCTGCGGGGGTTGTATACCGTATGGTGGCCTACTAGGCCGAACGCCCGAACCCGCGAATAATCAGGCCGGATACCCGAGCTCGTTGATGCTGAGGCCGATCACCCGAGCCCATCGACCACGTATAAACGAGTGAAACGTGTCGGTGTGGTCGGCCAATCTCAGCGCCTCTGCCAGGCTGATTACGGATAATTTAATTAGTGTAACACATCAGATTAGCCCCCTAATTTTCTGGGGCCCAATCCTTAATCACGGCCCAATACGAACACCTATAAATAGAGCTCCAACGAGGTATGTAACTAACTTTCAACTACCACATTTATTACGCCGAGAACTAACTTGAGCGTCGGAGTGTCTTTGCAGGCACCCCCCACCTCG